GAGTGCGGAGCCCTCCTGAGCCCAGGTAATTGCTGAGTGCAGGGAGCGAGTGAAGGGCAGGGAGACTGGATGAGACTTTCAAGGAGCAGTTTTCTGTTCCTCAGAGCTGGGCGTTGCTTCACATCAGGTTGGAGAATTCAGAGTGGTGACTGAGGGGGCCACTGTCTCTCACTAGCACCCTGAGGGGCAAGGTGGGGGAAGTGACTGTTGCTGCCTCTGCCCCAGCTTGTGCAGATTGAACAGACCGCAGTCCGCTGCTCTGAGCCCAGCAGATTCCTGTTGGTGTGAGGAAAGCCTCGGGGTTTGTTCCGTGGAGTCCATGGTGACAAAGGAACACTTCTCCTCATTGATTTTTAATTAATTTATTTTTCTTACAGATGTTTCTCCGTTTTCCCCCTTTGAAAAAAAAAAATTTTTTTTAATCCTCACCCAAGGATATTTTTCCATTTATCTTCAGATAGAGGGGGAGAGAGAGAGAGAAACATCGATGTGAGAGAGACACATTGACTGGTTGCCTCCAGCACGACCCCGATCAGGGCCAGGGACGAATGCAACCAAGGTACATGCCCTTGACCGGAATCGAACCCAAGACTCTTTGGTCCGCGGGCCGATGCTCTAACTGCTGAGCAAACTGGCTGGGGCTGTTCCCTCCTCTTGGAGTCCCATTTCTCTCTTCACTAGCACCCCACTCCCCATATCTGTCTGGCAGACTTCCCCCAGTCCTCCAGGGAACCCCTGTAGGAGCGCCCAGCCCCTGCCCCCACACCTGTATCCATGTGCCACAGCCGTGGGAATAGGCCAGACCACATGCTGAGGGCACCAGGCACCTGTCTGTTCTATTTTATACACCAAATGCCAGCATGATGTTGGACACACAGGGCTTGCCACAGCTTCAATAAACAAAGGATGGGTTAAAACAGTGGTTCTCAACCTTCCTAATGCCGCGACCCTTTAATACAGTTCCTCATGTTGTGGTGACCCCCAACCATAAAATTATTTTCGTTGCTACTTCATAACTGTAATTTTGCTACTGTTATGAATCACCATCAGAAATATGTGTTTTCTGATGGTCTTAGGCGACCCCTGTGAAAAGGTCGTTCGACCCCCCAAAGGGGTCGCCACCCAGAAGTTGAGAACCGCTGGGTTAAAACAGGAAGTGATAGGCAGTGGCCTTCCAGCCAGACTGAGGGCCATGGGGTTACCAGCGTCTGGGTCCCCCACCAGCTGGGGAGGCCTTGTCATCTCACAGTGTCCTGGTCACTGCATCCACCTGCCTCCCAGCCCTCCCTTCTTGCTGAATGACACATGGGCTTCCACCTGCAGTTATGCAAGAGCCAGACTGACCCCAGGGTGGCCGAGCTTGTGTGGGCTATGTGAGCAGGGTGCCCTGTGGCACAACTCGGAGGGGCTCCACTGTATTACAGTCCGCAGGACGGTGTCCCCTGGGGCTGTGCGGAGCACAGCCTCTGCTGTCACACGAGGTAGCCCAGTGCCCTTGCCCTCCACTCCTCCGTGGCCACAGCTGGCCTTTGGATCCTTGGGGTCACCACTAGAGGAAGAGGCCATGTTCATCAACCATATTGCAGGGCCCTGGTGGGATAAATAACAGCAGAGCCTTTTGAGGGAAGCTCTCCGGGGTCAGGCCCAGGTGGCGAGAATTATCCCCAGACATTGCGTGACCTGAAAGCACCCTGTGGGATGGCCGATACGGATCGCTCTAGAGGAACAGTACTCTTACCGTTCTACTCGCAGTGAGTTTAAGCAGTACTCAGTGTCTCCGTCTTTCCCTGAGCACGATGGGAGAAGGTAGCCCCAACACCCTCAGAGGCACGTGAGATGAACTCAGGAAGGAAATGCCAAGAACTGGATGCAGGGTCCCACTGGGGATGCTTCCTCCGAGGGGTCTGAGCCGCACCCTCTGCGGACGCCGTCCCGGGAGCGTCCTGGGGAAGTAAGAGTGCAGGGGAAGGGAAGTGAGCCGGGGTGGGAGGGAGAGAGCGAGCGGCTGCGATATTTCTGGGCCGGCCGCAGCTTCCAACCAAACACAGCTGGCTGTTCAGGTTCCGAAGATACCACGAAGATACCACGTGGAGCCACCACATTTCAGGACGGTCTGTTGGGGGAGAGGAAGAGCCAGCAGTTTCTCTCTTGTCTCCTTCCCATCACCTGCTTCTTATTGGTCAACGTCTGCCACATGAGACTGCCACCCCACCCTTCAGAGTGTCACCTGGCCCCTCCCCAGCCACGGGAGCAGGTGCAGCCCAGGCACACAGAGCCACAGGGGTCTTTCCTCTCTGGGGGAGCGGTGGCAGTGGCTTTATGACCATGGGACCGAGTAGCAGCACAGATGGCCTGTGGGGCAGAAGCGGGAGACCCAGGGTGGCACATAAACTAGGTTCAGTTTCTAAACCCATGCATGCCGCTTGCACACGTGGTTCTGATTCCAGCCGAGGACTTGGCGAGGGAAGGCTCCGGGGACTGATGTAGTCAGAAGCATCACCTGTGTTCCCCTCAGGGCAGACGGACTGGCCTTCATGTCTGGCAGGAGGCTGAAAAAGATCATGATCAATTGTCCCTGTTTTTGTTGAGGAACTGAGTTTTTTTTTTAATAATAGAGATTATTTTGTATTGATTTGAGAGAGAGAGAGAGAGAGAAACATCGTTCTGAGAAAGAAACATGGATCTGTTGCCTCCCGCATGTGCCCCAACTGGGGATCAAACCCACAACCTGGGTATGTGCCCTGAACAGAATCAACCTGCCACCTTTTGGTGCACGGATGACAGTCCACCAACTGAGCCACACTGGCCAGGGCAAGGACGTGGATTTAAATTCCACAGAAAGGCTGCAATTTCAGAACATCTGATTACTATGAACTCAGCTATCTGAAACTCATTAATTAGGAGTCTATTGCTGCTTCGCAGAATACTATAAATTCAGTAGTAGCTTAAAAGAACACACATTTATGATCACATTGTCTGTAGCCAGGAGTCTGAGTGGAGCTTAGCTGGGTCCTGAGCTCAGCGTCTCAAACGGCAGCCATCGGGGTTGGCCAACACCGCGGTCTCGTTGGAGGCTCGACTAGAAGAGGATCGATTCCATGCTGATTTGGGTTGTGGGCAGAAGTCAGTTCCTTGCAGTTGTAGGACTGAGAGCTTCAGTTTCTTGCTGGGTGTTGGCCAGAAACCACTCTCAGCAACTCGGGGTCACCTGCAATCCTTGCCACGTGGGTTTCCCCAGCATAGCCACCTGCCTCCCCCAAGCCATCAGAAGACATAAAAAAGTCCAGTAAGATGAGTGCTACCATCTCATGTAATATAGTCCCATACACATCATCAAACACTGTCACCTTTGCTGTTTGCTCTTGGTAGAACCGAGTCAGTCACAGGTCCTGCCCAAACTCAGTGAAAGGGATCATACCAGGACGTGAACACAGGTGGCTGGGATCATGGGGCCATCTTTAGAGTCTGCCCACCACACCTCATTTTGCTAGAACTCTATTTGCAAGCAAAAGCAGCAACTAAGTTAAAAAAAACAAAACACTTTTTTAAAAAAATCAGAAATTAGGTTTAAGAGAAAAGGCCCACGGGACGTGCTGAGTCGGCCACATCAGCATCTGCAGCCCCCATCTGTACCAGAAGAAAGATGCCCAGGGTCCAGTCCGTTCTGCCGCCGGCCCCACACTCATTTCTCCACCCCGCGTGCTCTTTGTGAAGCAGAGAAACTGGCTTAGTCAACAGAAAGAGCATCATAGCCTTACTCAGATCTCAATATTTAAATTTTCCAACATCAAAAGAACAATTTTCTGTTTATCAATAAACCAGAACATTCAATTACCTAAGAAATCCTCATTCCTAAAACGTCAGGCAACCTGAGCCTGCTCAAATGAACAGACAGAGGTTCTGCATCCCGTGTGATGGTCACGCGAGGACTTGCCGCGAAATCAGCAGCCACTGAGCGGAGGGCGCCTCATTGGGGCGGTCCTGGCCCCCATCTGCCCCTCAGGGCCTCTTTCCATTTCTCCCGCCTGGTGCCTGCCTGCCTGGCCTCGCGGGGCCCAGGCACTGTGTCCCCTTGTAATTGACTGAGAGCCTGGGGCCGTCCAGGCTCCACCCAGCCCGGCAGGGAGGAACAGTGACTAGCACTTCGAAGGAGGAGTGCTGTTCCTCAGGCTCCTGGTCCTGGCCCCCATGCGCTGTGATTATCCTTTTCATTGCAAGGCTGCGTGACCTTACATTCAAGGTGCAGGTTTCAAAGCCCAAAAGCGTTCCGCAGGCTTGAAAAGGCCTCCACGTCGCAATCAGACTCCCAGAAAGGAGAGATCTGACCTCTGTTTCAAGGTCTGACTCAAATCCCTGGTCCTCTGGGACCTTCCCCCAAACGCACACCCATTCCCATTCTCTCAGCCCTCATTCCACTCCCCTGCCCGGACTTCCCTCAGAGCTCACGCTCCTACCTCTGGTTTCGTAAAAAATAAAACAAAATAAAAAGCCACACTCTTAGCATCACTTCCTGTGGTGGTTCGAGATGTGAAGAAACCTTCAGGTCCAGCCTACAGCCCCGGGGTCACTGTTCGGGAACAGGCGGGAGCGCACGGTACAGCGAGGCAGCGATTTCCAGCCCTTTCCCCACTGGCCCTGAACCAGTCACTCGAATTCCGCGGCACACCGACACATACATTTTTTGCCAATCTGACAAAAAAAAATATTGGTATAATTTTGATTAATTCTCACCTGACAATTTTTGGGTTGGCTCTTGACATTTTTTATTTGACAATCCTTCCTTTTGTCCCTGGCACATAGCACAGCTCATACTGGTGTCTGTGTGTTGAGTGACCAGTGAGTGGTCCTAGGCTGGAGCTGGGGCAGGACCATGCCGTTTTGGGGTGTCACCTGTAGGGATCTGAAGACAGTAGTGAGAAGCCCCACCCAGAGGAGCCCTGTCTCTGCTCCGGTGGGCCCCTTCCCCATCCCGAGTAACCAGCCTCACTCTGTGCTTGCAGAACTACTTCGAGAGCTACCTGTCCATCGCCTCCACCGTGCCCTCCGTGCTGTGCCTCATGGCGAACTTCCTGCTTGTCAACAGGTAGGTCGCTCCCGTCCTCGCTCAAGCCCGGCCTTCACTTCCAGCCTCTTCCACTTCCCTTCTCTGCCTGCTTAGTGGCCACCCCGCGGGGCCAGGCAGCGCAGACTCCTCCGTGAAGACTGAGAGCTCAGTTACCGGGCCCTGCGGACGGAATGCCCGTCGGGGCGCTGGACTTGCACTTCCAGCCACACGCTGCGACAGCGGCAGCAGCCAGCACGAGGCATGTAGGGAAGTGGGTTTCTTCCCTGTTCCTCTCCAGGAGCCTGTCTGTCCACAGCTGCCGGACTGTCGGCCCTGCAGCCAAGGGACACCACCTAGATGGGGGCTGGTCCAGGGAGCAGGTCCGGCAGAAGCTGGTCTCCCAAGCGTTTCTGAGAGCTGTTTGAAGTGAAGAGCCTGGCATCCCACAAACCCGGCTCCGGCTGTGGGAATGGGTCACCTAACTGCTCAGTGCTGAGCTGGTAACACCAGCTCATGTGTCAGCTACTCACAAAGGGATCAGTGGGGAGCCTGTAACACTGTTAGTGAGGGGCTGGGAGGAGCCTCCCTCTGCGTGCACCATGGAAGAAGGAATGATTTAGGAGACAGCCAGAAAACTAGTGTGGCCCTTAGACCCCCCTGGGTGGCTGTTGTCATCATTCTCAGTTTAGGGTTACAAGGCAGCGGCTCTAGCTACTTTGCCTGCATTTCCCCTAAGCGGCCGCTAGGTGATAACAGTGGCTGCGTCATGATTCATAAACCTGAACTTGGGCACAGCCTACTGAAACCTTAGCTCTCTAATGGCGAATCTGTTTTTCCTAACTGCTCAATGTGTAGTGATTGCCTGGATTTCGGGCTGAACAGGCATCTAAGGCAGGTGTGGCTGTGGGGAGTGGCTGTGATGGATTAGTGATGTCTGCTGTGAGTACGGGACAAGGGAGGGCAGCACAGGAGCTCCGTGTGTGCCGAGCCTGCGCAGGCCAGTCTTGCCGAACATTGTGCTATGCGGCTAGTCCAGTGATCCGTTGTGTAAAAAGTACCCCAAAGCATAGCGGCTCAAATGACCAGTAGTGAGTATCTCTCGTGGTTCTGGGAATCAGCAGGCCCGGTCGGTAGCTCTGACTTGGTGTCTCTCGAGTGGCTGCAGCTGGGACCAGAGCTGCTGGGCCTCCTCGGGTACTCCTCCCCTCTGCTCCCTGCCCCACGCCTCCCCCTCCCCCTCCCCCTCCCCCTGCCTCCGCGCCCCCTGGAGGAGGTGGAGGAATGGCACCAGGAGCAGAGCCAGGGGTTCCCTCAGCACTGCCCACCCCTGGAGGGCAGGACTGGGCCCCCCACAGTGGCTCCAGAGAAGATATGAGGGCAGGAAGAGGGTGGAAGAAGAGGGACAGGGAAATGTGACAGACCCACGGAAGCCTCTCACTGTCCACTCTCCCTCCAAGCCTCTCATGATCCTCTCTGTCCACTCAGCCGGCCGTGGGACGGGTTTGTCCAGCTGGGCTAGCCCAGCTCGCATAAAGGAGATCCCCTGCCCCTCATTGATCTGGAGTTGTCACCTGATCCCTGACGAGGGGTGGTGCCTGGAGATCCCCGTTATATCACTTAGGGTGCACAGCGCCCAGGACGGAGGCTGTGACATTACTGGTTTTCCAAGTGGAAGTCCAAGACATGCCCAAGACCACAGGGCCGGCAGGGAGCAGCCTGGCCGGGCATGTCGCCTGGGTTGGCCTCTGTGGTTGTGAAGCCCAGAAGGTCGGAGCCATCCCAGGAGGGCTCGGCAGTGGCAGGGGGGCCACCTCAGGGCCCTGGGAGGAAAACCTCTAAGAGCACTGAGCCCTCCTCCCCTGGGGGCCTGCTCTCCTCTGACCCTGGCACAGCCTAGCAGGGGGCTTACCACCTTTTCTACAGGTGGGGAAACAGGCTCACAGAGGTCACTTGGCCAGTAAGAGGGTGGAGCCAGGATCAGAATGGGGACCCTTCTCCCCCACCTCTGTGCTTGGAACCTCTGGGCCCCCTGCCTCCTAGTTCCCCAGGTTTCCGGGGCCTCCTTGCCGCCATCCACACCTTAGACCCTTCAAGTGAGGGCTTGTCTCCCCTGGATTCCAGCTGCGGGAAGGAGGGAAGGGTCTGTCTGCAGTGGGACCCTGGCTGCCAGGCAGCCCCTCCTTCCCCCAGGTTGGGGAGAGAGCTGGTACTGAGGGCTCAGCATTTCAGGCTCCTCCAGGAAGGTCCAGCCTGCCCCGGGGCCTGCCCTTGTCCTTGGCTATCGGGGAGGGGTGAGGGCTGCGTGGGAAGACGGTTTGAGGCTGCTTTTTTCTTAATGTGCAAGAGTGAAATGTCTCGCGTTCTCGCCTCCTGGAGAACTCTGGCTTTCTCTGATTGGCTCATCCATAATCTCCAAGCATTTTATTATGTTCAGTCTGCAGCATCATAAATACTTATGAGGAAGATTTACATTGGGAGACTTGTGAAGAAAGCAGTGCCCTGGGGTCCCGAGTCCTCACAAGCAAGGGGCTGGGGGAGCAGGCAACCCTCTCCGAGGGTCACGTCAGTGTCCAGGGTCTGGAGCAGTCGTCTGGGCCATCCCCTGTTCTAGACCACCGACACCAGGGTGACACTTGTCAAGACTTTTCCTAAAATTCCAGCAGTGCCACCAGGCCCTGGGCCGCTTTCCCTGCCCGGGGTGGGAGAAACGGAGTGAAGCCAGTGTGCCCCATTAGTGCATGTGGGGCCGCAGCACCTGCCATAAAGCCTTAGGAGCATCGAAAACTGCCCCAGGCGAGATCCCGGCCCAGAGGGGAGGAGAATGGGTTGTGTAGCCGTAGTTAGCAGGCCAGGAGACCTGTGCAGGTCAGGGGCCTATATGGGAGGCTGAGGCCAAGGTGGCTTGCATTGTTTTTTCAATGCATGTGGCATTTATTGCCTCATCCCTCACTCTTCCCTGCTCTCCCCCCCTGAGGGTGCTGGGTAAGAAGTCCCCCCGCTCGCTCCAAAGCAACCATCCTGTTCAAGTAACCACCTACCTGTAGTGACAGGCACAGGAGCGCTCCCGCGAGGCCCCCAGAACTGAGGTGCCCTTGCCCTGCGGTGCCAGGGAGGAGCGGGTGGAGGCCGCAGCTGTCCCGAGGCTGGAAACGCTGCAGGTGCTCGGAGTCTGAGGGGCCTGAGGCAGTGCCTGGGAGGCCGCCCCTGCGCTGCTGCTGCCCTGCTGCCCATTGGTGCATCCAGCAGGCATTTGCCAGCAGCCTGCCAGGCCTGTGCGGCCCGTTCTTGTGTAGCTCCTCATACCTTCTAGTACGTCCTTCTTTTTGCTCCAAGGAACTGTTAAAACCTTCGGGGACTTGCCCCAGCCTCTCTCTCCACTCGAATTTCTTCAGGTCTAGAACCATCAGCTGGAAGGGACCAGCCTCTTCTTTGAGATGAGGACACTGAGGCCCAGAAAGGTTGACTGCTTGCTTAGGGTCACACAGTGAATTGGTGGCAGAGCTGGCCAGGGCTCCAGTCTCCTGATTCGGGCCCTGTGCCCCCGCTGGCTCTTATTTGGGGGTGGATACGGCAGTTTCAACTGCCAGGAGAGGAGGGCGCTGTGTGGCAGGGGTGAGTGTAGGATCACGCTGAGCGTCAGAGGTAAGGCCTGAGCCCCAGCCTCCAGGGCACTTGGTGCGCCCTTACAGAGCCACTCGGGGCCCCGGGGTTCCGTGCTCACCAGCTCCTCCAGGCCTGAACCCCTGCAGACCCTGCGAAGATGTGTCTCAGTGTGGGGCTCCCCACAAACAGACCCTGAAACAAGGATCTTATTTAGAAGTAGTTTATGTAGGAGGGAGAGTGGGGAAGAGACAGTAAAGAACGCCTCCTAACCAGCGCAGGAGGGTGACCAAGCCTGGCCTGACAGGGAGGCGGAGGGAGCATTGCGGGAGGCACGCCCGCGGGCGGAGCTGGGGCTTCTGCCCACCCACTTCCTGGGCTGTGGTTGACTTTGCTCTTAGCAGGCGATAAGTACCTGGCACTTGCAGCCTGCTTTCTAGAAAGAGGGAGGAGGGCACATGGGTGGGGCCCCCTGAGCTGTACGTCCCAGCGAAACCCTCATGTACCTCTTGGTAAAAAACAAGAGACACGGAAAGGATTTTCTCATTCTTCACCTGGAAAGTTAAAGTAAGGTCTGCCTCCAGGCACTGCGGGAGCTGGGCTCTGCGGACCTGGGTTCTAGTCCCAGCTCCCCACAGGCGCACAGCACCCCTGCACTACCTCGGGCTCCCTTCTGCCCTGCGAAAGCAGAGGCTGCTCCTCCAGCAGCTCGGGGAGCTCAGGTTAGCCTGGGGCCACCAAAGCCCTTAGAAACATCCTTTCTAACTTTCCTGTAAGTCATTTCACACCTATCTATGTACATATATTTTTTTCTACCTTTCAAGTCTTTTTTTTTTTATTCCAAAAAAAAAAAGATTGTGTATAACTAATCTGGCTTTTCTCCTAGCCCTCACCCCACTGGCTATCAGGAAAATTAACTTCCAATCCGGTTTAAAGCTTAGTCTAATCTGATGATTTAAACAGCCTCTTCAGATGATGTTCTCTGTCCCTGGAATAAGAATGTGCAGTTTCTCAGAGAGTCAGCCTTCCGGGCTTCTCCCTGAAGGGCGGGGGCTGGGTGGGCGGGTTGGGGGCTGGGAGGAGTGTAGGGCTGACATTTGGGGTGGGAGGTGGGGCCGGGGGCTAGCCCTGAGCTGCACGAGCTGGGCCTCAGCTGCTGTCCACAACAGAGACCGTCCCAGGAGAAGCCTTGCGCCCTGGCCGTGCCCTGGACCACCCTTATTTTCTTTGTTCCAGGGGAGGCGCTAGAGTGTCGTTCTAAGAGCACAGACTGCAGCCAGACCTCCTGGGTTCATAGCCAAATGACCTTGAGCAAGTTCCTTAGCTTCTCTGAACTCAGTATCCTATCCGTATCTGTACGTGTGGGATAGGTGATGCCCTCTGTAGAGCTGGGATGAGAATTCAACAGGTGAGCTGTAGAAGGTGCTTAGAGGAGTACCTAGCACAGATTAAGTACGGAGTGTTTGCTGCGACAACAATGACGGTGACAATGCCTCCCCCCACTACTAAGTTTTCGGGGATGCAAACCCAGTGGGTGGTTGCTCTGGTCAGCTCTAGGCAAGGCCAGCAGGAGCTCAGCCCTGTGGCAGGAGCAGGGGGCTTGCCTGAGAGCCTTCATGCCCTGTTCTGAACCTCACAGCTAGACAAAAAGCAGCAGTGGGCCCTGGCCGGTTTGGCTCAGCGGTTAGAGCGTCGGCCTGCGGTCCAGAGAGACCCGGGTTCAGTTCCCGCTAAGGGCATGTACCTCGGTTGCAGTTTGTCCCCGGTCTTGGTTGGTTGTGTGGGTGGCGGCCACTCGATGTGTCCCTTTCATGTTGATGTCTCTCTCCCTCCCTCCCTCCCTCCCTCCCTCCCTCCCTCCCTCCCTCCCTCTCCCACTCTATCTGAACAAAAAATGTCCTCGGGTGAGGATAAAACCAAACAAAACAAAAAAAAGAAGCAGTGGCCGCCAAGCATTGCCCTGAGCCAGACACTGCTCTCTGCACACTCCCCTGCGGAGATCCTCACCCCTGCAGGTAGATCCCTGTTCCTTCCTGTCGTCCAGAAGCAGAAGCTGAAACCAGAGCAATTGAGTCACTTATCCAAGGCCACACAGCGAGTGTTCTGGGAAGGGCAGGCTTCAGACCAGGCCTCCTGACTGCAGATGGACAGCCCGTCACTGAGCTCGCTGCTTCCCTTAAGAATGCTCACCGAGCCCCTGGCCTGGAGCCCCGAGGGCTCCCTGACCACTTCTTGCATCCTCACCCTAGAGTCCCAATTCATGTTCGCGTGCTGGCCTCGCTGGCTGTCATGCTAGCCATCTTCGTGGTGATGACCGTGCTGGTGAAGGTGGACACCTCTTCCTGGACCCGCAGCTTCTTTGCCGTCACCATTGCCTGCATGGCCGTCCTCAGCGGCACCGCCACCGTCTTCAACAGCAGTGTCTTCGGCATGACAGGCTCCTTCCCTATGAGGAATTCCCAGGCACTGATATCAGGTGAGCTGCGGTCCAGACAGCCCGCCAGGGTCGTCCTCCCGGGCGGCACGTGAAGGAGCCAGAGGTGAGCATGTGACCGCACTTCCAGAAAGGGAGGTGTGTATTACCTGTTTGCACGTCAATTGTGTAACAAAGCACCCCAGAACTTAGTGGCCTAGAGCAATAATAGTTGTTTCTTTGGCTCACAAGTCTGTGATTTGGGCAGGAGTTGGTGGGGCCGGCTCTCCTGGGCTCCTCGAGGCATCAGCTGAGACAGGTCGGCGGGCGGGGGATCCACTGTCACGATGGCACGATCACCTGGCTGGCACGTGGGTGCTGGCCGTCGGCCGGAAGTGCAGCCAGGCCTGGGTCTGGGGCCAGGGCTCCTCCTCACCTGGGCCTGACCGTGGCTGCGTGGGCTTCCCCCTGGCATGGTAGCGTCGCGAAAGCGAAGATCCCAAGAGACCCGGGGAGAGTGTTACCTCCTTTTACGACTTAGCCACTTAGGGTCACTCTCACCGTAGCCATCAGCCCACCTGGATTTGAGAGCAGAGAACACAGACCCACAGTCTCAGTGGGAGCGGATGGAAACTATACTGTCAGAGCAGGTGGAGGGAGGAGTCACTTTGGGAAACAGTCTGCCTACCAAGCACATTTCCTGAACGGCATTCCTTTCTTTCCTCCCTCCTCCCTCTCTCCTTCTGTCCCTCCCCTTCTCTCTGTTTTTCCATTCCCTCACCCCCGCCCTTCTTTTCTCCTTCGTTCCTCCCTTCTCTGTCATTTCCTCCTTTCTGGTTGTCTAGAAGACCTGCTGGGTGCCAGGGGTTCAGAGATGAGCACAACTCGGCCTCTCGAGAGCTGCCAGCCTAGTGAGCCAAGTCCCGTTGCCCTGACTGGGGCACGCCGTGGGGTGCTGACGCGCGATGCGGGCCAGCCCCTGTGGCTGACCTTTGGATGCTGCTTTAGCCCTTAGCAGTTCGGTTCTGTCACCCAGATGTCCCAGCGAGATACAAAGGAGCTGGGTCAGTACGAATCTGCGCTTTCCCAGGAGACCATGACCCCGTAAAGCAAGACTGGGCTCCGCTGCTCTGGGCAGTGTCTCCGCACAGCCGCCGTGTGAAGGAGCGCTGTGAGCACTTGCCCCCTTGAGAAGACTTTCACAAGGATTCTGCTGCGTGTTCTAATGAATAATGCCAGGCAGTGTGTGGCAGGGATGAAATACCTCAACAAGTGTGAGTCCCTGTCCCACTGCACGCCAGTGCCAGGACCGCGGTGGATCTGCGGTTTCCTCCCGAGCCCTGGTCCTCAGCGCAGCGCTGGAGGCGTCAGCGACCCCCGGTCGGAGTCAGGTGTGGCTCAGACCTGTTTGCTGTGTTCCACATGGGATTAGGCTTCGGCTCTATCCTGGGAAACCCTCGGGCCGAAGGTAAAATACAAGTGGACCCATTGCGGAGTGTCCAAGTACAGTCAGTACGTCCCTAGTGCTTCAGGAAGGCATGTCCAGCCCTGGCCGGCTTGGCTCAGCGGTTAGAGTCATCGGTCTACAGACCAAAGAGTCTCGGGTTCGATTCTTGTCAAGGGCACGTACCTCGGTTGTGGTTTGGTCCCGTGCCCTGGTCAGGGTTGTAAGGGAGGCAGCCAGTTGATGTGTCTCTCTCACATTGATGTTTCTCTCTCTCTCTCTCTCTTCTCACTCTATCTGAAGATAAATGGAAAAATATCCTTGGGTGAAGATTTAAAAAAGAAGAAGGCATGTCTAGGCTGAAGGAAATGGCCACCAAGTGCTGGGTTTAACCCTCTGCCACCCCATCTCGGAAATGGCCACCAAGTGCTGGGTTTAACCCTCTGCCACCCCATCTCGGAAATGGCCACCAAGTGCTGGGTTTACCCCTCTGCCACCCCATCTCGGAAATGGCCACCAAGTGCTGGGTTTAACCCTCTGCCACCCCATCTCGGAGAGAAGCTCTTGTGTCCTCATCCCCCTCCATCCTGCTGGAAGATGTATTTTCCAGTGTAGCATCGACCTTGCTCACTGCCTCTCGGGCCAGTTACTAAACACACTTTTATGTTGCAAGAGCCCTTCAGGTTCATCTCGACACCTGGGTTCTTCCAGAGAAGGGGCACGCTCCCTTTTCAGAAAGTCCAGTTTGGAAAAGTGTGGCAATCCAGTACTCACACTCCTGTGTTAATTATCTGGGCCCTGAGCCACTGTCGTCCCTATGCAGTGGGCACCCATCAGCCTGGGAAGCCTTGGGGTCCCCTCTCCCAGAGCCCAGCGCCACCTCACCAGCCCGTTTTTCTGTCCAAAGGAGCCCATCTGTGAATTCTGCCTGTGTTGCATCTGAGGAACAATTCATCCGTTCCCCACTGGTTTTTTTTTTAAACCCTCATTTGCATGTATTTCCATAACTGATGAGATAGAAGTAGGGAGCCACGAAGGATGGAAGGATGAGCTCCTGGGGGCCTGGTTTGTTGTTGATGATAACATTGTAAATTCTCTGCAACTTCGGAAGAGAGAGGGGCACCGACAGGCAGTGATGCTGGCTGTCTTCCTCGGGCCAGCGCGGAATGTCTCACCGAGCTTAACCCCAGTCCTACGGAACGCCCAGGTGCGGATTACAGCTTCTCAGGAGTTGGCAGCCTCCTGGCAAAGGGTTTACCTGTTGTTGCTGCTTTGATGTAGGAAGGACAGAAATAGCCAAACATCTAATTGAGAATCAGAGAGGATTTATATGATGTTTCTCTGCCAGGTACTCTTCTGAGCACTTTACATGTAATAATCCTCTTAATCTTTGTAACAGCCCTAAGAGGTGGGTTTTATTAACATCCCCATTTTAAAGATGAGGAAACGGGGGGCGGGGCACAGAGAGGTTGAGTGACTTGCTGAAGGTCACAGAGCCAGAAGTGGTAGAGCCGGGATTGGGCTCAGATGCTCTGGTTCCTGACTCCATGCTCTCAATCACGATGCCAACTTTTATCTCTGCCTTCCTTCAGATCCAACCTGTGGCTAACAGAGCTCATACTGAGAAGGTTGGGATCATCCGTCAGTGCCATGGGCAGGTCCCTAAAGCCACAGAGATGTGGGGCAGAGTGTGGGTGAGGCAGTGAGGACGGGCGTTATGGTGGACAGCATGTCCCTCCCCCACTTCTGCTCCACGCAACAACGGGCAGAAAAGTGGCACCTGGCCAGAGCCGCCTAATGAAACGACAGCTCTTCATGCCTGTGCGGAGCAGCTTCTTGCTTCCTTGAGCATCGAAATTCATTCCTTCAGCCAGTCGGTCCAACACAGTCACCAGGCACTTGCTGTACTGATATTGACGGTGTGTCTGTGTTCAGGGCTTTCTCTGTTCCTCGCCCCGCTCCCCCTCACTACAGTCTCATGTGATGACAGGGTGAGGAGTAGCCCCATTTTCCAGGCAGACAAACAGAGGCAGAGAGGAGTAAATGATCTGCTCACACGTATAACACGTATAACCGCTGATTCTGGGCCAGCAAAAGTTAATTACCCACGGTGGGAAGGATTCAGCAGAAAAAGAAGATACATCCCTTCTCCCCAAACAACTGCACGATCATGGCCAAGGGAACTGGCATTTGTTGAAAGTCTGCTTTGTGCCAGGTCCTTTCTGAGCATCACCTCATTCAGTGCTCAGAGCAGCCCTGTGAGGAAGGTGCTGTTATCCCCATTTTACAGATGAGCAGACTGGCTCCAAGACGTCACGTCAGCACCCAGGTCACAATGAGCACGTGGTGGTCAGGGATGTGAAGTACATCAGCTTGGGTCCTGGACCCCTGGTCCACCAGGTTCTGTAGCCTCCTTTGTTAGGTGGCCACATGGGTCACAGGTCAAGCCCTTTGCAAGAGAGAACATTCCATGGGGTGGAGCAGTTGTATGCGAGTGTGAGTGTGTGTAAGAGTGTGATACAGTATGTGTGTGAGTATATATATGACTGTGTGTTATGTGTGTGTGGCTGTACATGTATGATAGTGCATGCATGTGAGCATGTGTGTGTATGTGATAGTGTGTGAGCATATGATAGTGTAGGTGTATGTTGGTAGTGTATATATGTGAATGAGTGTGCGAGCATATATATGATAGTGTGTGAGCATGTATGATAGTGTAGGTGTATATGGGTAGTGTATGCATGTGATTGAGTGTGCGAGCATGTGTGTGATAGTGTGTGAGCATGTATGATAGTGTGGGTGTATGTGTGTAGTGTATGTGATAGAGTATGCATGCAAGTGTACAAGCATATATGTGATAGCATATCTGTTTGTGTATGTGATAGGGTGTGTGTATAGTGTGTGTGAGCATGTATGACAGTGTATGTGATAGGGTATGTGTGTGTGCATGCACCCGTGTGTTCACACGTGTGGTGCCACAGCTGCCTTGGAGTACGAGGTGAGTTCCCTGAGCTGTGGGTGGGTGGCACTAGGGCTTTGTAATGCACAGGGACTGCCCAGTCAGACACTTGGCCCCGGGCAGCGGGGAGCTGGTGCTTGGACACACCCTGAGCCTCCTCCCCAGTCTGGCCGGTGGAGGGTTTGAGTGGAAGAGGAGCTCTCTGAATCTAAAATTTCTGACCCCACCAGAAGGGCGATAAAAAGAGACGGAGGGTGCCCTGGTCAGTTTGGCTCAGTGGTTGGAGCATCGGCCTGCAGGTTTGGTTCCCGCTAGGGGCATGTACGAAAGAAAAAAAAAAAAAAAAAAAGGAGACGGAGGGTCAAGGGTTGGAGGTAAAACCAGAACACAGGCAAAACCTTGGAGGCCACTTGCCGCCTCAGACAAGCCCAGAGAGAACCAGGGCCGGGGCCATGCGAACCGATGCCCTCTTCGAGTCGGAGCGCTCCCGGCCGCAGAAGGAGCCGGCAGTGGAGAACGCAGCATTTCTTAGCAGGCAGAAACTGCTTTGATTCTGTTGAACTTGAGCAGAGAGGAGGCAGGCCTGAGGTGCAGGGAAGATGGAACCCCCTTGAGCTTTTTCATGGTGTCCTGTGCTCTCTGCAGGAGGAGCCATGGGCGGCACCATCAGTGCCGTGGCCTCCCTGGTGGACCTGGCATTGTCCAGTGATGTGACGGACAGCACCCTGGCTTTCTTTCTGACCGCGGACGTCTTCCTCGCACTCTGCATTGGGCTCTACCTGCTGCTGCCCCGGCTGGAATATGCCAGGTGAGGCCACGCCTCTCGCTCTCTCAGTTCTTCTATGTGGTTATATCTTTTCATTATTTACTGGCATTCTATTATCTAATTAGGTGGCATGTTTGTTTCCTTGTTTACTGCTCATCTCCCTGCTGGAGTGAGCTCCCTGAGGGCAGGAATTGTATAGATTTTGTTCACCGCTGTGTCCTGGTGCCTCAGCTGTGCCAAGCTCATAGTAGTTGCTCAATAAATTGGCTGGCCAGTGGGTGAGAGGTCTGCTTGGTGCCCCACCCTCAAGCAACTGGAGTTGCGACGGGGAGGGCAGGCGATGGAAGTGGGCCTGAGCAGTAAGAATGATGAATAATAGCTCTGTTCACTGAGCACCTCCACTGCCCCTGCACTGCGCTCAGCTTAGCCCCATGGCTCGTCCCTCATTATACTCATGCACCTGCTCCTTGTGGGATGCAGCACTATGATCTGTCGTGACTGTTACCATTCACATATGAGCAAACTTGGCACAGAGAGACTGAATTAGTTGCCTGAGTCACACAGCCTGTTGGCAGCAGCATCAGAATTCGAACCCAGCTCCAAACCTGTCTTTTTAACCACTATATCTCGGGGCGTCTTTCCACCCTGCAGGACCTCTCTTCTTGCCTTAGTATCTCTTTTGCTTTGTCTTTCTCGTTTTGTTTTTATCCTCATCTGAGGACATTTTCCCATCTTTGTTCAGATAGAGTGGGAGGGAGAGAGAGGAAGAGAGGGAGAGAGAGAAACATCTACATGAAAGGGACACTTCGAGTGGCTGCCTCCCACACGACCCCAACCAGGGCCGGGGACAAACTGCAACTGAGGTACGTGTGCTTGACTGGAATCGAACCCGCGACTCATTGGTCTGCAGGCCGATGCTTTAACTGCTGAGCCAAACCGGCAAGGGCTCTTTTTATTCTTTTTAAAATATGTTTTTACTTATTTTTCAGAGAGAGAGGAAGGAAGGGAAGGGGTCCCACCAGGGATCAAGCCTGCAGCCCGGGCATGTGCCCTGACCGGGAATCAAACTGGCAACCTCTTGGTGCATGGGCCGACAGTCAGCCGCTGAGCCAGACCGGCCGGGCTCTCGTTTCTTCTTTCTTGCTTCCTGCTGTTCTTTAAAACAACTCTTGACTTTTTCTCGTGTTTTTTCAATACATTTTCATATCCATTATCTTAATTTGATGTAGAAAAGGCAGGAATCATTTTCCCCATTTTACAGATGAGGAAACTGAGACAGAAGAGGCCAGGCGACCGACCTTGGTCGCAGTGTGCAAGCCAGCAGAGCTGGGCAGAGATCAGGTCCTGGCTCTGCCCTTTCCACAGGAAACTGATTTGTGTGGTGGCAGTGAGCTAAGCCACTCCCTCATACAGTCCCTTCACTTACTGTGCATGAAGACCGTGTGCAGATACTGTTTCTCCACCCACTTTACAGATGAGGAAACTGAGGCTTTGGAGAGTTGAGAGACGTGGCCAGGCGGCCCCCCTGGTGAGCGGAGGCAGGCGTGTGAACTCAGAGCTGTTTCTGGAGCAGCTCTCTTTCCACCGCATCTCATAGCACTGGCTTGTGACTTCGAGGGTCTGTCCTCATCGTTCATTCCTCTGTCCCTGTGAGAGAGTCACCTCTCTAATCACCAGAACCTCAAACCAACCGAGGCAGGTTGCTTTCCCCAGTTTGAGAATTATTGTAACCTCAGCAGCCTCAGGAGGATAAAAAGGGCCCAGCAACCTGACGCTGTGTCCCCAGGCGGCTGCAGACCCATGAGCTCGACCATCCCCCCCTGCTCCTTTAAGGCTGTCACCAGGAACTGCGCAGGTGTGCTCCATGATGATGTCCCTGGCTGGCTCTCTGTCCCCCAGCACCCATACACTGCCTGGCACCTCTCACTGCTTAGTGAATTACTCCGAGTCATGGACTGAACAGAAGGCACCCACCACACCTTCTGCTGTTTCCCATGTGCTGTTTTCAGGGTGCTTCCCGTGATCTGTTTCCAGGGGGTGGCCAGCCTTCCTGTTTGCCTGGACCAGAGGTGTTCTCAGGATGAGGGGCGTTCAGTGCTGACACCAGGACAGTCTCAGGCAAACCAGGACAGTTGTCACCCCGGATTTCAGACCCACCTTGATAGGGTGAGATGAGCCTGTTAGATTTGGAAGAACTTATGAGGAAGAGCTTCAACCAGAGGAACTTGGTGGGAAGATTCCTCAGACAGACTCAAGGCAAGGACCTGACACTGAGTAGAGGGAGAAGTAAGAGCATTTCTTTCCCTAAATAGTGATTGTGAAACAAGGAAGGGGTCAAGGCCAAAGCTCCTTCCTCAGGATCACATGGAACTGTGATTCTGGGGAGGAATCCTCCCACCGATCTGCTGCTTATCTATAGGCCCTTAGGACAGGAGGATGGCAGGCAGGGATCTCAGACGTTCATGGCTGCAGAACCCCCCGTTTTGCAGAAGAGGAAACTGAGGCCCAAAGAGGGGAGGACCTGGTTTAAGGTCACACGGGGAGGCAGAGCAGGGCTGAAGTCAGAAGCCAGTTATCAGCACGCTGCTGTTCCCACACCTCAATACAGTCAGCTCGTGTCTCTTGGTTTTCGGATATCTGAGTCCCAGAGAGGTTGAGTGACTCAGACAAGGTCACAGAGCAAGCCTTTCTTCTCCGATCAGAGTAGCAGAAATCAAAAGGATTGGCAATATTCAGTATTGATATAGGGGGAAAGACACTTTTACAGGCTTATTTGTTCTTTCAAAAATTATATTTTGAAGGTTATTCTGTGCCTGGAGATTTAGGTGAGATGGTTCAGTGCTGACACTGGTGGACCTGGCATCGTTCATTCCTCCTGTCCCTGTGAGAGAGTCACCTCTCTAATCACCAGAACCTCAAACCAACCGAGGCAGGTTGCTTTCCCCAGTTTGAGAATTACTGTAACCTCAGTAACATGGTTCTTGCCCTAGGGAGCTGCCTTCTAGTAAAGGAGACAGAAGATGAACCAGTAAACCAACACGATTATAAATTGTGGTCCGTTTTAAAGAAATAAACAGGTGCGGTCATAGAGATTAAAAGGGTGGGGTAGGTGGGTCAAACAGAGTAAAGTATAGTCCTATCTGTTTGGAGAGCAATTCACTGATACTTGTCAAAGTTTTAAAGGTATAAACCTTATGATCCAGCAGTTCCTTCCCTGGAAATCGGCCCTACTAAAACCCTAGTATGCACATGCAAGGATTTATGTATAGGGACAGCAATGGCACCATTATTTGCAGCAGAGAAAAACTGGAACTAGCCTGAATGTCCATCAGCAGGGCAGCAGCCGAGTGTATGTTCATACAGTAGAATATTGTGCAGCAATGCAGCAGACATAGAGCCCGTGTCCCTGTGTGAAGGACGGCCACACGATGCTCTTTAGACAGCTATATGTGTGCATTTATGTGTAATAGTTATGCATGTGTCTAGGCAGTTATATGATATATTTATATAGTGATTATATATTTAGGAATTACACGCTTGCGGAAAGTTTTACAGTATGTACGTTTGATGCTACTTTTGCTTAAGAAACGTAATGGGGGTGGGATGGGTGCGGGGTGTTTGCACATGCGTGGAACAATAGACACCGGGCTTCTGATGATCGGTACCTCGAGGAGTGAGACCGGAGGTGAGGGTTCCCGTTCGACTACATCATTTCTCTTCTGTGTTATTTGGGTTCATTACATCAAGCAAGTATTATTTTTATAATTTTAAAATTTTGTATTTTTAAATGCTTTTCTATCTCCACTCCCCACTCCCAAAATAAACAAAAAACAAGTGAGCTGAGACTGGAGTCCAGGCTCACCATGCAGTGGTCAGAGCTGGTTTCCTCTGTCCCCTCGCAGAACAACGGGATAGATGGAATCCAGCCTCTCAGGCAGTACCAGGCCAGGCCGGCCAGAGGTTGTGCCAGCTTCCCTGTGGCCATTCTGCAGCCACATACCATCTGGGAGCATCCTGGGGCTGCAGGACATCAGGGGCTTGGGCTGGACACACTGGGCCTGAAGGTCCCCTGCCTTGTCCCTGGAAATCCCGTTTTCTTTCTGGGCCCTCTGACCACGTTCCTTCTCCCCGCAGGTACTACATGAGGCCTGTCTGGCCGCCCCCCCTGTTTCCTGGTGAAGAGCAGCCATTCCAGGACTCCCCCAATGGCCCTTTGGTGGCTGCCAGACCCAGCTTCTCCCCGACGCCACCCCTCCGCCCCATCCTGAAGAAGACAGCCGGCCTGGGCTTCTGTGTCATCTACCTCCTCTTCATCACCGGCATCATCTTCCCTGCCATCTCCACCAACATCGAGTCTCTCGACAAGGGCTCGGGCTCGCCGTGGACCACCACGTTCTTCGTCCCCCTCACTGCCTTCCTCCTGTTCAACTTTGCTGACCTGTGTGGCCGGCAGATCACAGCCTGGATCCAGGTGCCAGGGCCCAGAAGTAAGGTGCTCCCTGGGCTGGTGCTGCTCCGGACTGGCCTGGTCCCTCTCTTCGTGTTCTGTAACTACCAGCCCCGTGTGCACCTGCAGATGGTGGTCTTCCCGTCCGACATCTACCCAGTGCTATTCAGCTCCCTGCTGGGGCTCAGCAACGGCTACCTCAGCACCCTGGCCCTCATCTACGGGCCAAAGATTGTGTCCAGGGAGCTGGCCGAGGCCACAGGGGTGGTGATGTCCTTTTATATGTACTTGGGTTTGGTACTCGGCTCAGCCTGCTCTGCCCTGCTTGTGCACCTCATCTAGGAGGGGGACTGGTGAGAAGGTCAGTGCTGCACTATGCCTGGGAGCTCGGTGAGATGGGCAAGACCTGCCGGAGGGCTCAGGCGGGTGCGGGGAGAGCAGGAGTTGGGCTCAGTACAGAGAGCAGAGCATACCGGGGCCACATCTCTCCCCAGGGAGCTGGGGACATGTGCTGCCTCTGTGCTAGGCAGAGACCGTCCCGACACTTGAACAGAACACTCCTGAGACTTTCGAAGACCAAAAGCCATCTGAGTAAGACACCGTCACACAGGCACAGCTTTCCCGGCTGGTGGCTCCATCCCGCCTTGCCGGGGAGCCTCTCGGGGATCGTGTTGCCAGCGTTGGACTTAGTGACGCGCCAGACCCAGCCTTGCTCCTTCCGCTGGCAGCAAGATGTGAGAACTCTCAGCCCTCCCTAACCGGACGGTCCCCCTGTCCAAGACCCAAGCCTGTGAAGACCCTGCGTTCTGTGGGTGAGAGCACCCACCGCCTACAGGGACACCAGGAAGACGGGAGCCCTTCGTGCCTTACACCTGGGCTCCCGAAATCTTCCCAGCACCAGAGACCAAGCCTGTCAGGCCTGTGTTTTCAAACAGGGATCTTTAGAGTGGTCTGTGGCCTGCATCAGGTCTGGGTTTTGACAGTGATGTTTACAACGTGGTCATTGGTTAAAGGGCATTAAAAAATACCTGGGTATTTATTGAAGTGTCTGTATTAGTCAGGGTCTTGGCAGGAAAGAACATACTCAAATGGGTAATTCGAGGATATTTAAAGAGTGGATATAGGACCCAGGGTGTCACATCTCACCTGTGACCTACAAGAGGTAAATTTGCTCCTTCCCTCCTTCCATCTCCTTGGAGCTCTTCCCGGCCCCTCTGGCCTGAACCACAGCCAAGGGGCAGGCGCAGACGATGGACAGTGGACAGAGAGGCAGGGGGTATTCAGCTCGGGGCCTTGTCCAGAGTGGGGCGCTAGCCCCTCCACTATCATAGGTTCATTGGTTATTAACATCAGTAGAACTCTGCAGCTTTGATCAACAGAATGTTGCTTTGTTCTGGGTAGTTGTGTATTTTGAAGCTGTTTTTTCCAAAGGTGACCCTCAGGTCTGTGGCCCCATTTACATTTGCGATCGCCTGACATGAGTAGCCACTTGTATTTTTTTCAGGTTCCTTGAAGGCTTCTGCAAGGCTGTTCCTTGGAGCAGGCTGGCTTAGGAATCAGAGAGAAAGGAAGTAGATCAGACCAGGAGTTCTTTCCCAAGGGATGTGCAAAAGGAACAGAGAGCCTGCCCCCAAGAAGCGGCAACCCTGGAGCCGTAAGTCAGCCCGCTCCGGCGCGCTGGCTCTCGCATGCCCTGCAGGCCGCTGAGGAAACGGGGGTGCAGCCCGGAATCTGCCCAGTGGCAGCAGCTTCCGTCCCGTCGTCTCAGGCCAGTACCACTCCGTCTTCTTGGGCCAGAGAATTAAAGAGGACACCCTGGAAAGTTTTCTTGAAACTTGATACCTAAAAAAATATATCAAAAAGCATTTAAAATAAATTCTTCCCTCTTTCCTCCCCTTGCAGGAGCCTGAACCCTCCCCCTCGGTTTTTTCACCTACTTGAATGCTGTAGATCATTTGGGGCATCCATCTGGCTGGAGACTCATGTCAACCTCAGGTGTTGTACAAATGGGCAGTATGTCTGCTTTCGAGTAAGACCGCAGTCCCTGAGCTCGGACCTGGAGCCCACCCGGAGCTACGAAGGACAGTGGAGTCTCATGTTCCACTAAAGGGGGGAGCCTTCAGAAGTAGAGGGGATGTCCTTATGAAATGGTCTGAAGTGAGCACGGAGAGCCGCGGGAAGAGGGGGGCAGCACCATGCGTGCTGTGGGGAGCTGAGGTGACCAGGCGATCCAGTGCCAGCGACACTGGGGGAGGAGGGTGTTCCGAGTTGGGAGGGGCCAGCTGCTTAGCTGGTGGGGGATTCTCCGGCGTTTTTTGCCCACTGTTCTTTGTTGCTCACCCAGGGAGGGAGGAAAGAAATGAAAATGCATCTCCAAGCAGAGGGCAGGCAGTGGGGTCCAGGCGTCCGTCGCCCGTCACTGTCAGCAGCTCACGGGGCTTGGCTGCTGCGCTCTCGTCTTGTGACCCAGGCAGCCTTGTGGAACTGGCTCACGTGTTGGGGGAGTGAACAGAACTGGCTAAAGAGAAGGGGGTTTTCCAGTGAGAGAGGTGGGGTGGGGGTGGGGATCCCTGCGAGTTGCCTTTGTCTTAGTTCTTGGATGTGGTCCAAGTGGCAGTTTCTCGTTCATGCCCTTGTGTATTCCCAGAACATACACGTTTCATTTTCCTTTCATTCAACAAAGAACATCAGAGGCAGCCAAATTAGCTGACTCTTCAACTGGTGGGTGACAGGTAGTTCTAAGGAAATGCTTGTTCCGGACTTGAACCCAGGCAGGTGTTATTGGCAAAGACCCCTCCGTTCTGCTATCTTCAACCCAGTGCACCCCAGAGAGGACCTGGGGCATCCTAATCAGCTTGGACATGATGTAGGAGGAGGTCACTGCAGGACCCTGGCCTCTGAGGCCATGTCGTGCTTTTACAGAGAACTCCAAGTAGAAGACAGATTGTACCGCAGTGGACATTAATTGAACGCCCAGTGCATATCTCAACTTTGCGGGCTTTCTGAGTGAAAGCATCTAGTCTCCATTTTGCCATCATCATTTCCTGGTGGCAGACTGTCTGTGTCAGCTTGGCCCTATGACAGTCACTGCTGCCCTCCACCCACTGGCTGAGGTTCCCAGTACAGCTTTGACCCCAGCAGGATCCCAGGAGGAACTTCATCCTACCAGCAGGTGGAGGCAGGGACAAGGCACGTGGCCACGGACCCAGGGTCCAGGCAGCCTCTCCAGCTGCCCAGACTCCTGCCCGCTCTACCCTATGATGGTGCTTCACCTGCATGATTTCTCCTATCTGTAGATGAGCACAGTGAAGCTCATAGAAGTTAAGGGACTTACCCAAGGTCATTCGGTTCCTAAGTGGCAGATCAGAACCAAACTTGTAAGTTCTCATCCACCCTGCAGTCTTGCCCCCCTGGTTGAACCCTGACTCTTGGTTCTTGACACCTGTCATTCCTATTCCCAGCTCCATAGCTTAGCTGGAACTTTGTGCCAAGTATATGTCTTGCCCAGCATGCTGGCACTGGCTCTGGCCTAAACTGATCTGATCAGTGCCGCTGGCCAGACCCCTGTGGACTGAGCTCCCATTGGTCCTGATTCTGGACCCACCATTCCTTCTTGGGCTGCTTCCAGGCCCTGCCCTCCTGGTCCCACACCCCTCCTCCCCCAGACCAGCCCCTGCTGCTGAGGTCGCCCAGCATGGCTGCGGCTGCTGGACTTGGCTAGGACGCAGGGTTGAAGAACACAGCAGTTTGGGATAAGGAAGCCTTGCTCCCAGCTCCCAGGCTCTGGCTCTGAGTCACACACCCTTTCTGAGCGTGTTTCCTCTTCTGTAAAAGGGATGACAAGAGGTCCTGAAGTTGTGGCTGCTGTGCCAGTGAGCCAGCCTGCCACCCCAGTCATGCCCACTCCCCAGCCCAGGCGGCCAAGCTGCGCCAGATCTCACAGCCTTTGTGACGTGCACACCTCTGCTCCCACCCACGTGTCCGCCACTGGGGAGGTGTGAGGCAGCCTGAGAGGGTGGCCTCAACTTCAGGCTGCAGTGGACTCGACTCCAAGGAATAGCAATGAGGACGGCCGTGCATTCTGCCCCAGCATGACTCCAGTCAGCCGACCCACCGGCCCTGTGCACTCCACCAAGAAGTGCCCTTGACCGGAAGTTAGAGGGAACTCTGGACCTGCAGCCTCAGCAGGAAAAAGGGGCACCCCAACACCTGCACTTTCATCATGAACATGTGGCCAGGTACACAGATACCCCCGTGTCCCATCATGGTTCTAGAGTCTGCTCTCTGTCGCCACACTGCCTAGGTGCAAGTCCTCGCTACTATCTGCATGACCGTGGGCAAACTCAACCTGACTGTTTCTCATCTGATGATAGGGGCAGTTGTAGTGTGGTCTCAGATCCGGTTGTGCACATTAAATGGTATAGTGGGGGTGTACCTAAAACATTTAGCATTGAGCCTGGTGTGTAATCAGTGCTGATCACCAGCTCCTAGAAGGCTGTAAGTTCGGATTCCCCTCCTTGGAGAACCACTGCGCTAGACTGATGAGGGCTTGTCAGGAGCTGACGCCGGCCCAGGGAGAGACAAGGGCTTCGTCTGCTCTGCTCCAGTGTAGGGCTCAGGACTGGGACGTCTTTATAGTAGTTAATGCGTTGTGGACACTCATCTTTTTTTTTTATCCTCACCCAAGGACATTTTTGCATTTATCTTCAGATAGAGTGGGAGGGGGAGAGAGAGGAGGAGAGAGAGAAACTGATGTGAGAGAGAGACATCGACTGGCCACCACCCACATGACCCCAACTGGAGCTTGGGACTAACTGCAACCGAGGTATGTGCCCTTAGCGGGAACCAAACCCAGGACTCTCTGGACCACAGGCCGATGCTCCAACCGCTGAGCCAAAATGGCCAGGGCTCACTCATCGTTCTTAAAAATGCTCACAGATTCAGGGTAGAGCCTTGGGGTTTTAAGTGCCAAGCTCGTCTTCTCCACTAGCCCCTGAGGTTGGCACCCAGTGGCTTTACTCCTCAGTTGCATTTTCCTACCTGCTCCCTTCACCATAGTCAGGAGGGAAGTAGTGGGGGGGGGGGGGGTCCGGTGAAAAAGGGTGAGGCCAGAGAGGCAAGTCAGACTCAGCCCACAGCTTGGAGTCGACAGGTGGGGAGTTGTAGTCTCACTACTCCCAGGCATTCCTGTTCTTGGGGAGCAGCAGCGTGGGGGTGCAGGGTTGCCTTCTGCCAGGTGCCAGGTCACACCTACCCATTCTCTAGGGCTCATTAGCTGCTTAGGTGGTGGTAACTGTTTTTCATTTTGCTGAGATTCAAAAAGGGAAATGAGCCATTACCAGAGAGCAGCCCTTTTTGAAACAGAAACTGACACTGACTGCATTTTCGAATCACATTTTGAGAGCTAAGAATGCAGAAGTCTGGCCCTTGCTTTATCGAAGTTGTCTTGCAGAGGGTTGTCTGAGCCTTGCCTTCTGCCCACAAAGCTGTGTGGGAAGGGAACAGGAGGCGTCGAATGTCAGTGTGCCAGTCCCGTCAGCGCCACCCCAGCTGGTATTTAATGGCCAGCCCATGGCTCTTGTGAGGATGTCAGGAAATTTCCCTTTCCTTGTTTTTTGTGGCTCAAAAGCCTTAGGGTCTGCCCTCTTGGGTAAGGGCTAGTCACCTTGATTCTTGAAATAGGGGCAAGTCAGAGCTCGGGGCTTACAATTAGGGGACTTTGGGCAAATCACTAACTGCTGAGCCTCAGTTTCCTCATCTGTAAACTGCAAAAGGCATACAAGGTATTAGCTCTTGTTATCATTAAACCACCCATAGATCCACTTGTGCCCCATTCCACGGGGAAAGGAGGCTCTAGGACCAAGGAGACATGACAGCCTGGAGCTCCTACACCTTACCCCTTTTGGACCATGCTCTGGGTACCTGGCACTCCTGAATCTCCTGCCTAAATGAGCTCAAACCTGCAACCAGGAACCGGCAGGCTCTTCCCTAGGTCCAGCCTCCAAGGGCTGACTGCTCAAGGCACTTCTAGACTCATGTTTGCAAGTGGTGCTGAGTCGGGA